AAAAAAAGGTACTGTATCCAAATGTGATATATAAACACGACGTGTATTTGGTGGAGGACAATATTCATCATATTCTTGTACATACATACCAAAGAAAATAACATCAACACCTTCGATTTCTTGAAAAGCAAATATAGCCTTTGTACGATATGGATAATTATCATATACTATTTGATTTGAATAATATTTTTTTAATTGTGGTTTTACTTTACATTGTTTATCACTAGAAGCTAATACACGAATTGTAACACGACTATCATAACAATCTTTATCATGTAAAAATTTATTAACACGTTGTTCTAATCGTGATGATAAATCAGTTGCTATTAATTTTTGTGCTATATAACAATTTTTTTTACGTTTTATATTATATTGACATACACATGTATTACATATAAAACCTTTAGACCATATTTGATCTAAATTTAAGGCACATACTTGATGCCAACGACGTGTACAAACAATACAATCAATCATTATTTCAGGTTTTTCTTTATCATTTATAGCTAATAGAAATAATTTTTTTGGTATTTCAACTAATGTTTGAGTTGGATCATCACCGATAAATATTGACTCAGTTTTAATCGAATTAAAACATGTAAAACAAAATCTATATACATCATTGGATAGATTAAACTGTGATAGATCAGGATTGTTATAATAATAATAACTACTATAACGTGAGATTTCGCAGCATTGTTGCTTTCCATAACATAGCATAGGAGATGGTATATATATATATATTGTTGACCACAACAATAGCCTAATTCTTTTAAAACAGGATCAATAGATTCAACAAATAGTTGTGAAAGTTGTGTACACATTTTATAGGCACGTGATGATCTCCTATTAAAAAGCCATGCATTATTAAACATAAGCCATGCATCATCACAGAATTGTAATGGATTTTTATATTCTCCACATAATAATTTATTATGCATGGTTGATATATCCATGGGATTTTTAATTATTGTTGGATAATCAGGTATATTAAGTGCAACAGGATCGACTGGCTGACGAAATAGAACTGAATATTCAGAATCGATCATTTTGTGAATAATTGGTTCAAGACGTGTATGTAAATCTTCATATGTAAATTGTACAGGATGTTTAAGTAATTGTTTATTTGATGCATCGATTTGTTCCATTATTGATTTCATAATATTGCTAGTCGATAATTGTGAATCAGATTCAATCATTACTACAGTTGATGTTGAATTTGTTGGAAAATCTAAAAGTTTAAATTAAAAGGCATACATAGTACATTATTAGAATTTAATTGTATAACGATGATATTACAGACGAAGTGTGGATCAATATAAGATTCATACTTCCTTCGAGTTGATTCGTCTACAATGGTATTTTAACTACAGTTTGATAAGCTCTGTGCAACGATGAAAAGCTCAAGACATTTGAGTCAGTTTCTGGGTGGGTACTATACATTTAGAGATTTCAAGTGTTCAATTGATAACTGATTTTAAACACTAATGGATATGTCTAAAAGTCTATCTCAATATCAATACTATGTTGGGTTTAATCTCTTTTTTTTTTAAGCCTAACTTAAATTTCATTTATATACTTATAAAATCATTTCACACATCGTACAATAAGAGAAAAAAAAACGTACTATGAATCAGAGTTACACACACAATTCTATGGTTTAATTTTTACTTTTTACAATGTTCAGCTCGTATATTTTCGACTAGACCAGTTGTGTGACGCGCTCAGAGAATGTCGTATATAACAGAGACTAATTATGTATTAGTCAACAAAAACAAAGAAGCAATCGTTCGCAGTAGAACAACGAACGAAAGGTCACACGGTCAATTCGCGAACACACGAATACAGCGAAGAGGATAGTGTTTATGAAATGTGCATTGTAATGGTAAAAAAATTCATGTATACGATAACAAGAAGTGCCAATATCTTATTTGTCAAAAGTCAATATCTGGGCTATAAGATGACTTTCTAGATTCCAGAGAGAAACAGGATAACCTTCAAATGACTATTCGTGCAGTAGTCGGAAATATGAAGATAGTGTGTTACCGCAATTCGTTCTTTTCTCATATTCAAGGCATTGTGCACGATTAAAAATATCTAAAACAATTGCGTCTTAACGAAACCTTCTGTTTTTATACTTCAACCTCGTTAAAATAGTATTAAGAAAAATATTTTAATACATTAAATCCGGTGATAAATAGATACAATCAACATAACCTTAATATTATCAGCGATAATAAAATGTAATATCTACTCATAACTAACAGAAACCAGGTAACATAGATTTGTAGATAGTCAGGACTTACAATAGTATGGTTTCATCTCTTTCCAAAGCTCTTCGAAATCATGAAAAAACAAATCATTTTATAAGAAAAAATAACTTAACGGTTGAGAATCTCATCCATTGTAAATTTAAAGTGTTAGATCTAGCTTCTTCCTAAATATTTGGAAGATAAGATAAAATGGTACAAAAGTTTCGCTAGACATCTATTACTCGATTATTTACATTTACATGGTTATGAATCTATTCTTTGGAAAGAAATAGAACTGCACTACTCTTGTATACTCTTTAACTACTGACTGTCTTTGAATCGATGTTACCTGGTGATCACAATCGAAAGTATGGGAACACATTTTCAGCATGAAGTGCTTTCTTTTTTCATCTATCATTATTATTTGAGAGATAAGAAATTACTTTCATTTTCGAGTTACCATAGAAAGCGAATTTATAAAAAGGAAGACGGCTGATAGTTT